CAATACAAGTAGTGTACAAGATAGAGCGGACTCCAGCTAGGAGCTTATGTGGCACACATGATGAAACCCCAGCCCCTTCTCTAGGAGACCCCAGAGCTCTTCTGGTTCTCTCTCTACACATTTTCCTGCTACCTCTGAGCCACAGAGAACTGTTTTACCCAAGCATATCCTATGTGGGTTTTGTTTTTTTGTTTTTTTTTTAATAAAGATTTATTTGAGAGCACAGTGTGATAGAGCAGAGTGTGGGGGAGGGGCAGAGGGAGAAGGAGAAACAGACCCCCCGCTGAGCAGGGAGCCCAACATGAGGCTCATCCCAGGACTGAGATCATGACCTGAGCCACCCAGAAGCCCCTGATCCTATGTTTTCTTTGTGGTTTTTGTTTTTTATTTTTTAAAGATTTTATTTATTTATTAATGAGAGAAACACTGAGAGAGAGAGGCCGAAACACAAGCAGGGGGAGAAGCAGGCTCCATACAGGGAGCCTGACGTGGGACTCGATCCCAGGACTCCAGGATCACACCCTGGGCCAAAGGTGGCGTTAAACCACTGAGCCACCCGGGCCGCCCACTTTGTGGTTTTTTTGGTTTGGTGTTTGCTCTTGTCTCTGCTTGCATGCCTCCACTTGAGGGCTTCTTGTACTCCCAGCAGAACGGATTACTCTCCTGGGGGCTCCCTGTTCCTATGTGAGGTATAGCCTTCAGCACCTGTGAGTCTGTCATCATATACACACTTGTGAAAACTGGGGTTTTCTGCAGGCCAGAGACCTGTCTCCTTGACCTTTGTGTGTTCCCAGTGCTTAGCACAGAGCGGGTGTGCGCGTCTTCGTGTGAAGACCCAGAACCACCCTTCAATCCAGACAGACCAGCTGGTTTCTTCACTTTGGCACCGACACATCCAGCTTTTCCTTACTCTGCCTTTCCCCCATTCTCTGCACACTCAAGAGGGTTCAGCTCACACCTTCCCCTCCCCTAACTTCCAAGCCTTCCCTCACTACTCCAGCCCAGGCTGAGCTCACCCTCCCTTGGTCCGTCTCAGGACACAGTTTTGGCACATTCTGTCTCTTGTCATCTGGGGTGACCAACCATCTTGGTTTGTCTGGGACTTAGTGACTTTCTGAGACACAGTACCTTCAGTGCTAAGAAAGGGAAAGGCCTGGGCTATCAGGGACAGCAGGTCACCTCACATGGAACTCTTGGGTTATCACCTAGAATAGTTGAGCTTCTACAGCAGTGGCTCTCAACCAGGGGACATCAGCAGTTGTCTAGAGACATTTTTTTGTCTCAAAACATGGGTGAGGGTGCTAGTGCTATCTTGTGGGTAGAGGCCAAGGGTGCTGCTAAACATTGTACCATACACAGGACAGCCCCCGTAACAAAGGATTATCTGGCCCCAAACTTTAGCCCTTTTGGTGGCTGGGGTATTGCTGGGCATATAGACAGTCCCAATGGAGAAAATGGCATCTGTGTGGGTTGGAAGATCAAGGAAGGCTGGCCCCCAAAGGGTGGGGACGTGGCTAGGAGAACATACCCACCAGTGTCTGGATTCCTGTGGGCAGGGACTTCCCCAGGACTCGCTGGCCAAGGTGGAGTTGTGAACACCACTGAGTGTTCCTAAGTGGCCTCACGTGCTCTGTGACCCTCAGTGGCTGCTGGGAACAACATGGAGGACATCTATGGGGAGCTCTTACTGCAGCTGCACCAGCAGTATCCAGGTGATATAGGATGCTTTGCCATCTACTTCCTGAACCTGCTTACCCTGAAGCCGGGAGAGGCCATGTTCTTGGAGGCTAATGTGCCCCATGCCTACCTGAAAGGAGGTGAGCCATATTTGTCGTTTTTTTGGGGTGTTTTTGTTTTTGTAGATTTTATTTATTTATTCATAAGAGACACAGAGAGGCAGAGACATAGGTAGAGGGAGAAGCAGGCTCCTTGCAGGGAGCCTGATGCCAGGACCCTGAGGTCATGCCCTGAGCCAAAGGCAGACAGACGCTCAACCACTGAGCCACCCAGGTGTCCCTGTTTGTTATTGTTTTGTTTTTTTTTTAAGATTTTATTTTTAAGTAATGTCTGTACCCAAAGTGAGACTTGAACTCAAAATGTGGAGATCAAGAGTTACATACTCCACGGACTGTGGCAGCCAGGTGCCCCAAGGTGAGCCCCATTTTAGCAGTGATCCCCACTACCAAGCTTTGCTTCATCATCTAGATAAAAGGTGGTCAGAGGAAGATCTTTAAGGTCCCATCCAGCTCTGGCCTAGGGTCGGGCAGGGTAGTGGCCAGTAGGGTGCAGAATGCCAGCTTAGCGTTGGACAGTTTGAACCTTCACACGGTCCTTGTGAGGTCACGGTAGTCTCATGCCAAGCCCTGTCTGCATGTGTGGGAACAATGTGAACCCAGGCTACCTGGGATCAAGGCTGTTCTCTCCCCTGCATCACTATCTTTGCATGTCTGTCTTCCCCACCTAGAGATTTTTACATGAAAACAAGTTGCCACAGAAAGGTGTCACATCTGGATTACTGGCTGTGTATCCTCATGGACAGGATTCTGTGGTAGAACGGAGTCTGGGGCTGACATTCCCCCTGATGACAGTGGGCAACCAACCACCTGTTTTTTGTTATCTGATATCTTAGCCCATTCTCCCAGGTTATGCATTTCATGCATTTTTTGCCACACTCTGCAGGTGGTTCACAGCCCTCAGGTTAGGAGACCAGCCCTTCATCCTTCATCAGGTTATTAGTACATTACAACTGTCTGTCCCCAGACTGTGTGGAGTGCATGGCGTGTTCGGATAACACTGTTCGTGCTGGCCTGACACCCAAGTTCATTGACGTGCCAACCCTGTGTGAAATGCTCAGCTATACCCCCAGCAAGGACAGGCTCTTTCTCCCAGCACAGAGTCAGGAAGACCCCTATCTCTCTATCTATGACCCCCCTGTGCCGGACTTCACAGTCATGAAAATGCAGGTGAGTGGGGTGGTGGCAGTGGCTGTGGTGGGGTCTTGTATGGCTTGAAAAAGCCTGGCAAGGGCCACAATGTAGAGTACACCGGGAGCTGGGTTTCCTTTTAAGCGCACTTGGAGGAGGCCAGTGGGGGGCAGGGATGAGGATGACAGGACACAGCCAAGGGCCCTGCCCATTCCCTTTGTACCAGGGACCAGACAGGGCCTGCACGCTGACAAGAGCCTGAGCAGTGGGGGAGAAGAGCTCTTCTTCTTGCTGCCCTTGAGGCTGTCCTGCGCCCGCTGGGAGCTGCCGGGAAGAGACCACCAGCCACATCGTCCTGTTCTTTCTGCCCAGGTCCCTGGCTCCGTCGCCGAATACAAGGTCTTGGCAGTGGACTCCGCCAGCATCCTCCTGGTTGTACAGGGGAGAGTGACAGCCAGCACTCCTACAGCCCAGACCCCAATTCCTCTGCAGCGTGGTGGGGTGCTCTTCATTGGGGCCAACGAGGGGGTCTCCCTGAAGCTCGCCATGCCCGGTGATCTACTGCTGTTCCGTGCCTGCTGCCTGCTGTAGAGGCCATAGCCTTCCTGGCTCTCCTCAGGCCCAGCTCCAACCCCTTCCCTGCTCTGGAGCTGGGCATACCCTGAAGAGCAGGGGTAGAGTAGTGAGCCCCAAGATAGGGACTCCTGAGCAAGCCTAGGACAAACCATCTCTCTCCCGGGAGGAGGACCCTAATGGGGACAAAGACCAGACACTCCCCTGGTCTTCTCACCGTACCGGAGCCAGGCCCTGCTCAGGGCGGAGGCGGCAGCTCTGTTCCAGCCTACAGCATTAGGCAGGCTGGTAACATCTAGGATTAGCTCAGCGTCAGTCACAGCAAGAGGGTCATTAATTTAAGAACAGGTTTCCGGCCCTGGGACTGCCCATTTCCTCAGCTGTGAAGGAGGGCAGAATAGGCCTGTGGCTTAATGTTGTCACCCTCTGGCTCTGTCAAGGCAATTAAAGATCACTTGTGTTGAGGCTCGGAGGCAGAGCAGTCCGCTGTCCGCATGCCAGTCTCTGAAGTGGGCTGATGGGGCCCTTCCTGGGTGTCCAGTTTTTGCTTTAATTCCTGCCCCAACAGCTCCCTGAGGTGGGTATGTATGGAACCCTTTTATAGGAACATCTGGGAAGGGATCTGAAGATGTGGAAGGTGGATCTAAAGATAGTGCAAGATTCTCTCTCCAGTGCTTCCACTTGGCCTTAGGGCAGGGGTCAGCACGCTAAGGCCAGCAGGCTGCCAGAGCCCAGCTGCTTTCAGGTTCCAGTGGCAAAAAGAGATGATCAGACTATGAGGCCTAAAGTATTGACTGGCCTTTCCAGAGAAATTTGTCAGCCACTTTAGGACACATTCAGTCATCATACAAACAGGGATTTGGGGACAGGATGACCCAATCTGTGTTGGGAAGAGAAACCTAGCTACTTTTCCTAAACCGGCAGAAAACATATAGGACGTCTATTCGCGCTGTGCCTACTACCTTCTAGATGTGCATGCGCCTCTGCAGGAGCAGCCCCACTGTCTGTTTTGCCACTGACTAGTCAGGTCCTGTCACCACATACGAGTTGGAGACTCCCGTGGAGTAAGGGTTTAGACCAGCACAAAAGGATCTTTCTGGGCTGCTGCCCATACCAGACGCCCTATACGACGGAAATCTAGAGAACCACCTTCAGAATGGTTCTAACCTATTCTGGGGTTTCGTGGCCTCTTAAGTTTTTTTCAGCTAAAAGCAAAAGCCAACCTGGGAAAGGAAAGGGTCTGCAAGATGGACCGTCCTCTAAAGAGAAGTGCTCTGCAAAGGCCTGCCAGCCTCCAGTGACGCCAGCCTGGAAACGCTGCCCACTGGGAGTTGCAGGAAGAGGCAGGTCTCAGGAGGAATGGCCACTGGTGGGCGGGGGGCTCTTCATTTCATAATTCAGGGGGCTGTGGTCTAAGCCTTACTTAGGCTCTTCATTTTATAATTCAGGGGGCTGTGGTCTAAGCCTTACTTTCAAATCCTACTGCAACAGAGACCGCCCAACTAGCATGACTGTATTTATTCGTACAAACTTTCAGAGTTGTGGAAGCCTAGGCCAAGAGTTCCGTAGCGTCCTCTGTAAACACCACACACCTGCTTCTCTCGGAGGTTAACTGCGAATACACCCCGGTCTCCCCAGGACAGGCACCTGCAGGATACCTGGCGCTCTGAATTAAGGCAGTTTGGCTCTAGGCACCTTGGTGCCTTTATTGGTGACATTTTATTTAGCCTGGAACCTCCGGCCCCAAACAGACCATTTCTACCCCGCCTAGCTGCCAGGTGCCTCCAACTTTCTCCACAAAGGTAATGACTTCCGCACAGAACCAACCACTTCTAGAACATCCTCTCCAGGAACAGACTCAGGCAAATAGATAGCGTGGACTTAGAGTAAAACCATCTGGAGGGCCTTGGTCTTGGGGTCCTGCTGCCACCTTCACCCACCTAAGTGCTCAGGTCGTTGTCCTAACCACTCCCCCCCCCCCCCCACAGATGTAGCCCCACCACACTGGGCTTCCTGCTACCACCCCAGTCTCTTCACACTGCCCTGGGTGGTGCCCTCTATGTACTTCTGTACCTATGCAGAAACCAGAAAGGCCTGCACAAAAAGTGTTCCGCATGTGAAGCACCCATGTGGCGCTGCAGTCCCACCCCTGAAACCATCTAGGTCTCCTAGTCCCCAGACCCTGACCTGCCGTGTCTGTGGCCTCGGTCCCATCTACCTCCTGCTGTGATGCTACTGGATCAGAAGTCAACCACAGCCCCTGGATACCATACATCCTTAACTTCCTAGCATTTGACAGAAGCACCAAGATAGATGCCTGTCAAGTGCAGATAGATCATCCTAGTTATCTGACAAGGGCTTTTTAACTGACCACCTCAGCCTTCCAGTCACCTCATGTGGCAGAGCAAGAGTTCACGTCATCCTTCACACCTCTGGAGGCCATGGGACATCAAATAAAGCACCAGACCAGGCACTTCCCATGTAGGGCCCACCCCCCAATCCTCATGCCCCTTTGGCTGGGAACCATGTCCGCTCTCACAGTCCTCAGCATGGCTCTGGGTGAGATCCCCCCTCCCCCCAAAAAAAGAAACCAATTCTAGAGAGGACTGGTATAGCGAGAGATACCATCTGGGGTGGGGCATGGCCACTGGGGAGATTATGCTGGTCTCAGCCATGTTCACACTGAGGGCGGAGCTGGGTTGCCCCAGAGGCTTACTTGGGAGGCCCATGCTGGAGTGAAGGGACACCCTCCGCAATGGCAGGTTATCTCCTTAGGGAGGGGCCCTGGGAGCTGGCACGGGGCCCATCCTGCCTGTGAGTCTCTGTCCACATCAAAGCCCACACAGCAGAGCCAGTACAATTCTCACTCCTTGCTAGTTAAGATCCAAAAGCTAAATAGGAAGGCACCTAACTGCTTCCTGCAGCTCCCTCTGCTGGTGACCCAAACCTGCAGGCTTCGGGGTGAGCTCCAGTCCCTTCACCCAACCTTTACACTCAAAGGCTGGGTGTTGAATAACCTAAGACCAAGGCAAAGAATGGTAACCAAGGAAAGATAAATAAATAAAATATGTGCATAGTGGAGCAATTTTTCTCCACTGGGTGGAGGGATTACTAGAAGCCCTGATCCTGCTGTGTGATCAAGCAAACTGCCATACTCCCTGCCATGGGCAAACAGGTGCAAGGGGACGAAGGCCAAGGGGCCCTGCTTTATGCTTTCTTGAGTGTCCCCTCGTGGAGCCAGGAAGAGGGAGCATATGGAATTTCTTAAGCTGGTCCCAAATAGTTCAGTTCTTTTTCAAAGACCCCCAGCTAGAAGCCGTAAAGTGCTATTTTCTGCTTCCATACAACACCGTCCAGCATAGCCTGGCCACGAAAGCTTTCTCCCTCCACAGAGGGGAACAAATACAGGTCAAGATATGTGCAAGTTTTCCTTAGCCAACTTGTCACCACCAGAACCAGAATTGCTGTGTGCCTGCCCTTATTAAAGTGGTTTCTCCAAACTCTGCTCTAATACCAGAGGAAAACTGCAGAGTCCCGCCTATTACCGTATGGCCCAGATGGGGGCCTCTGGCTGAGAAGCACCAGGTAAGGCGTAACTGCAGGTCATTGACTTTCTTCCCAGAGGATCAGTGCCTCCAGTGATTCTGGGGCTGATGGCCGTCCCCACTGCACTCTGTGAACTAAGAAGGGTCCACAGGGCTCTGCAGGCATGGTGAGCAGAGCCCACCTTAGGGGGTTATGTCTACTGGAGAGTACAGGAGGAAGAGTCCCCAGGACAGCACCAGCAGCAGGAGCACGTTGAAGAGGCCATAGGCTTGGGAGGAATGAGGTCCAAGTCCTCATCATCTGGAATCTCATCCAGGTGATACCCATCTTGAAGCAGCTGCCGGCTCACATCCTGGTTCACTTGCTAAGGGCAAAAGAGGAGAGAACTGTAAGCCAGGAGGCAAAGCAGAAACAACTGCTGCCCAAAAGGCAGACCTACCTACCTTCGCTTACCAGAGCTTCCTCTCCATGCTCCACCCTCAGGCCAACTCCATGCATCACTGGACTACAAGAGGAAGTGCCTGTGCCTCACCCAGCAGGGAAAGGCCCCAAGCAGGGGCACCTGGGTGGCTCAGTGGTTGAGCATCTGTCTTTGGTTCAGGGCATAATCCCAGGGTCCTGGGATTGAGTCCTGCATCAGGCTCCCCACGGGGAGCCTGCTTCTCCCTCTGCCTGTGTTTCCAATAAAAAAAAAAAAAAAAAAAAAAAAGGCCCCAAGCAGCCTAAGCCAGTACTCTCCAGGCTGCACTATCACTAACCCCCAGGCAAGCTGTTCTCACTAAAGAATCCTTAGACATCTGATGTAAATATCAGATTCCAGATTCTGTTTGAAAGTCAAGGGCCTGACTGTTCCCACTGGGAACCTAAACTGGTCCCTACAAAGGCTGAAGAATATGGGACAATGAAACCAGGACAATGGGGTAGAATAGGAGTTACATAGGAACAGGATGGGGAGCGGCCTTGTCTGCACTGCTGGTTAAACATGGAGCACCTTTATGCCAGCAGAGCCTGTTCCCTGCAAAGTGGAACCTGTCAACCTAGATTTACCAGTTCCACTGAGCAGAAGGAGAGGGAGACTGGGAACAATGCAGGACTTTCTCTGGCTCTTGGCTAATTTTTCTTTTCCCAGTTTTAACAATCTTAGGCACCCAGATATTCAAGAAGGAGAAGATTTACAAACTACTTCTATTTTCTTTGGCAGAAACTCAGGGGGTTGGCCAAGGGTTTTCTGAACAAGGAAAAAATAATAAGGGTGGCGTACAGTCCAGTCATGTCTCCAACACCTGGCCTCTAAGGTGGTAAGCTGCACATGCCAGAACTTTACACCCCTGTGTCTCTGTCTGGGAGCATCACTCTGGAAACATGTCCAGAAGGCCATCCTACTGGTAGCTCAATCGGGAGTTCCCATTGATGGAACAACTGAAGGAACACAAGTTGTCTGGACTGACTGGAAGAAAACAAGACTGGTGGAGGATGGCCAGGGGAGGGACAGGAATGCTGATCTCAGATAAAAGGCAATTAGAGGAAGTGACACTAGAATTACTGCGAGACACCGGAGGGCAGGCCTAGGACAACTGAGTCCATCCTGCAAGAGACATTTCAAATAATAAGGAAAACTTCTCTAAGAGCTACCTAAGGAGTGTGTGCGCGCATGTTAGAGGGAGGGCAGGCAGCAAGGCTTCTTGGAGGGAGTGAGTACTCAGTTGCAAGAAGCATTCAAGCAAGCAGAGGCTGGTAAACACTTAGGTGGGATTTATCAAGAGGACTCCTTTCCTAAGTGGTCACCTGGGCTAGAAGACTTGTGAGGTCCTTACAGCCCTAAGGGTCTATGGTCTTCTGGATTTTCAACAGCTTTCCTCAGACACCTATACCTCTGTTGGGGGAGTAGGGCAGAGTAGAAGATTGGAGAACAGACCGGAAGTCTGGCATAGTGCCGTGTATACAGCAGGCACAAGACAAGCATTTAGCAGTGGCGGTGACGCTGCCTGCAGCCTGGCCCCGTGCAGAAAGGCGCTCTGGACTTGCCTCTGCAGAGGAATACCCGGAGGAGTATCTGGATTCCAGCTCCCCATCACTAGGAGAAGAGGAAAACAGTCAGTTCAGGGGGGATGCCTCTGGAGCACAGCTGCAAAGGCCAGGTAGAGAGCATGCAAGGGGGTCCGGAGGACTTGAGATACGAACACCACAGGTCACAGAACTCAAGCCCAGAACCAGAAGTACCACTGGCTCTTTCTGTTGGCTCCAGCGGGGGCGGGGGACACTGTGGCCGACAGCGAATACCTAAGGAGGAAGGATGATTCCCCCACTCGCAGTTAGTGCTCCAAACGGAAGAGCAGCATGATCACCTGAGTCCTCTAACCAGGCTATCCTGGGAAGGGATGATGCTCTCTAGAAGACAGCTCTGGAACACGCAGGGAGGGTCCTGGACGAGATCTGCAGTGGGACCCACTGCACTCCCCAAGGGCCATTTCTCGGGGGGGGGCACTCACCTGTCAGAGTCGAGGGACACCAGGTTTTCATCTGGACTCTGACTAAGGGCCGTGTAGCCCTTGTTGAACTTCACCGACCTGGGGGGAGATGGGAAGAGAGCAGGCAGAGATGAAGCACCGCCGGTCACCGGGACGGAGGGCCAGAGCGCCGGCCCTTACGGAGGAGAACGGGCTGCGGGGCTCCCGTCCCGCCTCTCCGCCCCGCGACCCCGCGGCCCCGCGGCCCCGCATCTGGCTACAGCCGCTCCGGACAGGCGCTTCGCTGCGGCTCCGGAGGAAAGGCCTGCTGCTTCCAGAAGCGGGAAAACTCCCCACTTCGCCGGCCTTCAGCCGGAGGGCGGGGAGGCTGCAAGTCCGAGGCCGAGTCTCCTCTTCACGCCTCTCGGGTCTTAGCTTACGGGGAAGAGGCGCCGGCTCGGCTCCTGCCCGGCCTCGGAGCTCAGCCCCTGCGGAAAAGGCGAGGGAGCCCGGCCCGGCCGTTCCGGCGCTTCCCCTCCCCCTCCCCCTCCCCGTCCCCTCCCCCTCCCCCTCCCGGCCCGGCCTCCGCGCCCGCCGCCGACCCCCGCGGCCCCCCGGCCCTCGCGTGACGCCGTCACGGCCCGAAAGGGGGAGAAACTTAAAACAGCGAAGCGACGGGCTGGCGCCAGGCGGCTCGCTGGCTGGGCCTCGGGCCGAGCGCCGGGGCCTCCCCGGACGCCGCCGCGCAGGAGGGGCGCCCGCCGAGACCTTTTCGCGGAGGAGTCGGGGCGGTGCGGCGGCGGCCCCAGCACGGCTTTCGTCCGCAGAACCGCCTTGGCCAGGTCCCGGGGCTTCTCTGCAAGGCGGAGGGCGCGGGTCAGCCGGTCCTCCCGCGCCGGAGCCCCCGCGCCCCCGCGCCCTCGCCGCCCGTCGCCCGCGCCCCGCGCCCTCGCCCGGCCGCACTCACGCAGCCTGGCCGGAAGGGAAGGCGCGCGCGTCACCGTGTACGGCCCCCTCTTCTCCACAGCCGCCGGGGGCCGCTCCGCCGCCCGGGCACCCCCGCCGCCGCTTCGGCCGGAGGGCGGCCCCGGGGCTCCCGCCGCGCCCCCCGCGGTCCCGCCGGGCCGAGGTCCCGGGCCGCTGCGGCCCGCGCTCGCCATGCTGGGCCCTGCGCGCCGCCGCCGAGCCCGCGCCCGCACGGAGGTGGAGGCGGCCCTCCCGAGAAGGGCGGTGGCGCGCAGGCGCGGACCCGGCCCCAGCCTTCCGGCGGCGCGCTCGGGGCGGCCGCTCGCGGCCAGGGGGCGCGCGGCGACATGGAGGCCGGGGCGGGCGGGCCGCGGAGAGCGGCGGGAGCTGAGGTGGAGGCCGGGTGAGGGCGCTGCGGGCCCGCGAGGAGCCGCCCGCGGAGGCCGCCGCAGCGACGCCGTCCTGGTCCCCGGGGCCGACACTGGAGCAGGACTGTGTGCCTCAGGCACATTCGGAAAAAGTAATTTAAGACGAGCATTTGAATCATCACGCACAGAGGAATGTTTATTTTCGTAGATTCCAGCCTTTGAAAAAGTTATTTGAAAGAGGGCGAGCGCGCTCCGCGGCCAGACTCGCGGCGGAGCCGGCAGCCGGGCTCCATCCCGGACCCCGAGGCCGTGTCCTGACCCGCCCGGCCGCGCGCCTCGGCGCCCCCACCCCCGTATTGCACATTCGGAAACAGCATCCAGGACCTTGAACTCGGGACCCTGACATCAAGACCTGCACTGAAAACCAAGACTTCACCCCTTCGCGGGCTAAGGCACCCAGGCGCCCCCACATGGCTCGAGTTCTCTTGACTTCCCAACGTGACCAGTTGTTATTCCTATCATGCAAAGGAGATTTAGACTTGGTCAGATTCAGCAGTTGAGTGGTAAACTTGGGATTTGAATCCAGCTCCCTGGAATGTTTTTCTCCTGGCTATGCTGCCTGTTAGACTGATGGGAACTTCCCCAAGGGCCAAAGAAAACATGATCAGAACTCACATGATGTCACAAAATCTCCAGGAACTTGCAGAATATCAGCTAATTGCTATGTGATTGAACATGACCCCTGAACCCAGATTATGTGACCTGCCAATAACTGGCTTACTCATTTCTCCATTTCTTCAGCAGTGAAACGAGGATAGCAGTACCTATCTTGTGAGGTTAAATTGTAAAGTTCTCCGAATGGCACCTCACATGTAAGAACTCAAGATATGTAATCTTATGGGGACACTTTAAGATTTTATTTATTCATGAGAGACACAGAGGCAGAGACAGGCAGAGGGAGAAGCAGGCTCTGTGCACGGAGAGCCCAATGCGGGACTCAATCCCACGACCCCAGGATCATGACCTGAGCCAAAGGCAGACCCTCAACCACTGAGTCACCCACGGAACCTTTATGGGGACACTTGACTCAGAGGGTAAAACAAGATCAAAACATTCCCCTTGGGGTTGTAAATTTAAGCCCCTGGGTGGGTGCAGAGATATTACTTAAAAATAAAATCTTAAAAAAAAAGTAACCTTACAAAACTTACACTGTTCTAGGAACATGGTGTTTATTCCTGTGCTTGGCTTTATACTCCCCAGGGCCAGACTGCCTTGTTTATTTTGCAACTTGTTTTGATCCCTTTCACCTATTTGCCACACCCCAGCAACCACCAGGCTGTCATGTTATCTATGAGCTTGGTGTTTTTGTTTTAATTGAAGTAATCTCTATACCCGCGTGAGGCTCAAATTTAGGACCCCTGAGATCAAGAGTCACATGCTTCACTGACTAAGCCAGCCAGGAACCCATTTCTTATTTTGGGGATTCCGCATGTAAGTGAGATTGTACAGTATTTGTCTTTCTCTGCCGGACTTATTTCATTTAGCATAATGCTTTCAGGCTCCATCCATGTTGTTGCAAATGGCAAGATTTCATTCTTTTTATGGTAAAGTATCTTATGGTATATAAAAGTATATATATATACACACATATATATACCATAAAATATATATATATAATATCCATTCATCCATCGATGGACACCTAAGTCGTTTCCATATCTTGCTATTGTAAATAATGGTGCAGTGAACATGGAGAGTGGTGCATATATCTTTTCATATTAGTGTTTTCATCATCTTTGGATAAACACCCAGAAGTGGAATTGCTGGATCATACTGGAGTCCTATTTTTAAGTTTTTTGAGGAAAACTATACTGTTTTTCATAATGGCTGTACCAGTTTAGATTTCCATCAACAGCACAGGGTTCTTTTCTCCACATCCTTGCCAACAGTTATTTGTCTTTTTGAGACTAGACATTGTAACAGGCTAAGATGGAATCTCACTGGTTTTGATTTACATGTCCCTGATTAATGATTTTGAGCACCTTTTCATGTGCTTATTGGCCATCTATCTGTAGGACTTTAAAAATTTATTTATTCATTCATTCATGGGACACACACAGAGGCAGAGACACGGGCAGAGGGAGAAGCAGGCTCCATGCAGGGAGCCAGATGTGGGACTCGATCCCCAGTCTCCAGGATCACGCCCTGGGCCAAAGGCGGCACTAAACTGCTGAGCCATCTGGGGGGGCCCCCCCAGAGGTCCTTCTGAGAGGTGTCACCTACCTCCACCCTCCCTCTTTGCCAGAGAGGGGCATCGGTCAGCCAGCACCCTAGGCTAGGCTTCAAAGGGAAAGACCTTGAGGACAATAATATGAAGTTATAGTGGTGGTGCCGATCTTACTTTCAGCTTTTCACTTTTGAGTAGGTTAGCTGCAGGGTTGTCATACATGGCCTTTATTATGGTATGTCCACATTATACTTTGTTGCAGTTTTATCATATATAGATCATATACATGACTTTTATCATATATAGACTGTTGTCTGATGCTTTTCCTTCATCTGTTGAGATGATCACAGTTTTTATCCTTGTTACTGTGGTGTATCACGTTGATTGATTTGCAGATGTGGAACCTCCTTGCATCCCTGGAATAAATCTCAGTTGATCATGGGAGTATAATCTTTTCAATATGTTAAATTCAGATTCCTAATATATTGTTGAGGGTTTTTACATCATGTTCATCAAGAGTGAAAATTTTCATTCTGTACTCCCCTCTGAAACTCTTTTCCCACCTCACAGGTTTCAGACTCCAGCCTTTGACTTCTTCCATTGTTGGTAAAGCAGAGAACTGCATGAATCTGCAGGTCTTTGTGGATCCCAGGTCACCAGCTCCAATTTCATCCTCCCATGAATGCATGTCACCTCCTTCTAGGGAAGATATATTTCCCAGTCCTCACATCCTTATGTAGTACTATCATAAGCAAAGTGAAGTGAGGATCACCAGGATTAACTGATCTGTCAAAGATCACAAAGTTGTAGAGATGAGAACTGAATTCTTATCTGCTTCAAAACCCTGTCCTCGTGTGTGTGTGTGGGGGGGGGCTGTCCTCTTTTTGTACCAGTCAGGTGCATGTCTTTAATGTTATAGACTGAATTTTATACTCCCCATTCATGTTTAAGATTCAACCCCCCAGGGTGACAGTTCTTGGGAGATAAAAGCCATTAAGGAAGTGATTAACTGAGGTCATCAGAGTGGGCCCCTAATCCAACAGGACCAGTATCCTTATAAGAGACACCATAGATGTGTGAACAGAGGGAAAAAGCCCCTATTTCTTCATCTTATTACTACATTATTGTCTCCCATCAGCTGATGGGTAAATATAATACAAAGATGCTAGGACATACATCACATCCATCTTGAGGGGATCTGACTGGAATTTCACATCATCGATGTAGTATTTTTTCTTCTTTCACAAGAGATTTTACTTATTTTTTTTTAATTTTTACTTATTTATGATAGTCACAGAGAGAGAGAGAGAGGCAGAGACACAGGCAGAGGGAGAAGCAGGCTCCATGCACCGGGAGCCCGACGTGGGATTCGATCCCCGGTCTCCAGGATCGCGCCCTGGGCCAAAGGCAGGCGCCAAACCGCTGCGCCACCCAGGGATCCCGAGATTTTACTTATTTGAGAGACAGCACAAGCAAGGGGAGGGACAGAGGGAGAAGCAGACTCCCCACTGAGCGTGGAGCCTGACAGGGCTCAATCCCAGGACCCTGAGATTATGACCTGGGCTGATCAGATGCTTAACTGATTGAGCCACCCAGGCACCCTTTAATTTTTTTTTTAATTTTATTTATTCATTAGAGACAGAGAGAGGCAAAGACATAGAGGGAGGAGAAGCAGGCTCCATGCAGGGAAACCAATGTGGAACTTGATCCCAGAACTCCAGGATCACGCCCTGAACCAAAGGCAGATGTTCAACCAGAGCCACTCAGGTGTCCAGCACCCTTTAATCTTTAAAATAATCTCTACTAACTAAATAAAATAAAATAAAATAAAATAATCTCTACACCCAACATGGGGCTCAAACTCACAACCCTAGATCAAGAGTCACATGCTCCATTGACTGAGCCAGCCAGGCACCCCCATCTGTGTAGCATTCTTGCCAAAAATGTTTAACTGGATTTTAATAATCAGGAAACAAATAGCGAGATGCAGATTGTAGGGCATTCTACACCACCTCTGGGCTGGACTCTTTAGAAAATGAACTGTATATATATTTTATGGCAAAATTCTTAAAGTATATTAACAGTATTGTGATAATGTAGGAAAAGTCCTTATTCTTAGATGTCTACTTAGGGGTAAAATGCCGTAATTTACTTTCAAATGGTTGAGGAAAAAAGTGTATACATAGACTAAGTATAAAACAAATGTAGCAAACTATTAGTTTTTAATATTTTGAAATAAAGAATAAGGAAAGAAGAGTTCTGTTAGGGTAGAAGCTTGTCCATCATCAAACTGTTGAAGCATCATTTTCTTTAAATTGTGAACATTGGGCAGCCCCAGTGGCGCAGCGGCTTAGCGCCGCCTGCAGCCTATGGCATGATCCTGGAGACCCAGGATGGAGTCCCACCATCCCATGTGGGGCTCCCTGCCTGGAGCCTGCTTCTCCCTCTGCCTGTGTCTCTGCCTCTCTATGAATAAATAAATAAATAATCTTAAAAAAATAATAAAAATAAATTGTGAACATTATTTATTGTCTACTTCCTTTAGATAGAACTAGAATCCATTAAGCTAAAAGATGTACCTACTTTCTCCAGCACAGTACAGGAGTCAGTCAAATTTGACTCATAGACAATGGGGGAACTGAC